TAGATAAATTAATTTACTCGTCATTATTTTCGAAGTTTCCTGTTTTTTCTTGCTAATGCTTCTTCATATTTCCTATTATTTTTTTACTAGGTACTCGTAATACTTCAAGTGGATCCGTTGAATGGTCCACACTCTTGCCATTGGGCGAAGCCACTCGTGCCGTTTGTCTGGTACCGCTGGGAGGCAATACTCCGACCTGTCCCGGTTATGCAGCGGTGGCCACTTCACACCGCCTACTTCGTTTCTTTGTTCAGCCGACTACCGCTTCGAGGGCCCCAGGAGGTGATGCTACCGGAGATAGTGATCATGGGGCCAATTTGGCTGGTAGCAGTGGGCTCCGTCTTATCCAGGCTGGACCCGCAGGTCTACCCCCAGTATGCCTGCCCGGTTACGGCGTTGTCGCAATGGCTGCTCATCCTAGTCGACCAGTTCTTGCTGTTGTTGTGGCGATGGGTAATGCTGGAGATGGAGAACTTAGTTGGCGTGTATACTGGCTGGATGGACTTTATGAAGGTTGATAATATTTTTTTGTTGGCATTACGCTATGCTATTTTTTACTGGCTTAATTGCTCGGGTCAAATTGACTTAGTATTGGGACAAGCCACCAAAATGAGATCACCCTATTCTCAAATTAATTTATGTTGTTTGTTAGTATGTTCGTGTTGAAGTGTGTAATAGAGATTTTCGCAGGTAGCTTTCCTTGGTAGACCATGGTCTATTCCCTTTGTGGTTTGATTTTATTGGAACGTTCAGGCTGATGCAAGCCTCGAGACACCTTCAATTTACATGCAATATATGCTAAGCTACGGTATTTCATATGGTAGATATAATCAAAGCTAAGCCTGATTCCTATAACAACTACAAATTAATTTAGGATAAAAAAATAACCGAACATCTGTTAGGCATACTTAAAAAGTCGTTAAAACATCATACTGACGAGGTTTGAATTAAATACATTCAAGTAGCCTCAACAACAGCAGCAAATCCATATCCATTAAACTTGCTATGTTTGTTAGGCCTACCTGTTGTGTTCATTGCTGTTGCCCTAAGAGGTATTCAATTAACCATCCGATTTTGAAAGAACCTGAGGAACCTTGCAATTAGTGCGTCGTAGGATGTTATTTCTGTCCTTTCTGCAATACCTTTCAACTCATGAAAATAAAGTTGAAACACCTACTTTCTCTTATTTACTGATTCTGGACTTTTATACGTACGGTCTGAATATTCCATGCATGTATATTTTCTATTTACAAAGAGTACAGTAGCCATTATAGTAAGAATGATGCGTGTCGTATATATAAATGAATATGCCGGATTGAATTATGCTCAAAAATATTTCTCAGCTGAGTTGGTAGGCCTACTGTATATGTATTGATAATCCAAATTCATTTTAGGTCGTTTGCCAGCTTGGACTCTTGGAAGTGGTCTCATGCGCTGGCAGCCGCTTCCGATTAGCCCAAGCTTCGCTTCTCTTTCCTCGCGTCATGAGCCCACTTATCCTTTAGAGGCAGATCGTCGTGGGAATTCTCGGTTGGCCTGGATCGGCTTTTCTGACTGTGGCGGGCTCTTCACACATGACTCTACGGGCTTTGCTCGACGCCTTATGCATCGGCGAACTTTCTGCAGAGGAGACGGTGGGTGCTGCTTTTAAAAGTTCGCCTTAATATTTGATTTCATTTTTATCTTAG